TTAAATCGTATGTTTTTTTTTTAATGGTAGATGGTAGAAGGCCTTAGATTTTTAAAAGATCATTTAAATATTATCCATCGTGGTACGTATTGCAATATTATTAATTAATTAATTTATTAATTACTTAATAATAATAATAATCAATCAATCAATTTGTTATTTTTTTTTTTAATATTTCTGTAGATGTGAAGCCTACAAATGTTCTTATAAATAGAAAAGGTGCAGTTAAATTATGTGATTTTGGTGTTTCCGGTCAATTAAATATGTCATGTGCGAAAACCAATATTGGATGTCAGAGTTATATGGCCGTACGTGTCATTCAATATCTATCAGTATATATATATATATATATATATCCACGTGTTCATGTATATAATTTTTATTATAGCCGGAAAGAATAACAGGTGATCGTACTAATTTTTATACGGTACAATCTGATGTATGGTCACTTGGACTTTCGATGCTCGAACTTGCTACTGGAAAATATCCATATCCTAGCCCAGATACAAGTGTTGGTATTAGTTTATTTGCTCAACTGAATGCTATTATTCAGGGTCCTCCACCCACTCTATCTGAAGATAATTTTTCTGAAGAATGCAAAGAATTCGGCACCTTTAGGAGTAGAACATCTGAGTCTTTGTTCTCCATCCCAAGTAAAACAATCTACGATGTCTGTATTGATGGCACCGGCAATAACATAAACTAGAGAAGCGACTGACAACAAACTAAAGATGATTGCTTCGATCAACGGGTACTTTATTTTTTTATTTACCGTGAAAAGAACGAGAGCTGCTGTTGGTATAACTAGTCCGATTGCAGAGACCACGATACCTAAAAGTATCCAGTTCGGAAGCATTGTATCTGTGCCGGCAACAATCGAAGTCCCATCATAATGTATTCCTTTGTTGTATAGTGATTTGTTTGCGTCTGCTGCTATCGACAACAATATCAATGTAACTAAACTTGATAATATTCCAAATATATGAACGCCTCTCACATAATTTGTGTTGTCTCTTGAAAGGTTTACGTTGAGAGAAATTTTTTCATTTTTTGGTGCATTCATTATTATTATTATTATTATTAT